ATACTCGTAACTATTTGTCAAGCTTTTCTTGGGTGAAATCTAACTACCATCATATGAAATTGTGAATAAATTCGTTTATGTATTATTTTCTCTATAATATTAAATCCTAATTTAGTACTACAGTATTTGTTTTAAAAAATAAAAAAGCGAAATGCAACCTATTTGACGTGGACTATCTTTTTTATAATAATTTTTTTTGAACAATTTGTCAAGGACAAGCTCAAAACCTGTCAAAAGGAGAGAGGGAATGCACATCAAACTGGTAAGAAACCAGTTGAGTCGAGGAGTCATATGCATATTTTTTTATAATAATTATAACAATTAATAGAGTAATTTTTTATTATTAAGGAATCCACTCTTCCTCAATAATTAAAAATAACAATATTTTAGCAATTAAAAAAAAAATTTGTATAATTTTTTTATCACACTTTTTTATATGTATCATTAAAATAATTGATTTTTTTAATTTAAATAAAATTTATAACATTAAATACATTTATTAATATTAAATACATATATTCATTTAATAACATATAAAAATTATATAAAAATATAATATTAAAAAATTGTGCTTATAGCAACTCCCAATAAAAAATTACTACTTGGATCAAAAATAAGTTGTAGCGGAAAATATGAACGTTCACTTAAACGACGACGTCTAAGGATAAACTTCATAGAGGTGAACGATTTATAGACAATTCAAAAGTGCCTTAAATAAGGAAAAAGGAAAAAAGGGTTGAAAACTCAGGAAACCCCTCTGGACTTTCAGAGACTTCGTAGAACGTCACCGGAAATGGAAGGTTCCGACGAGATTCTGCTCAGCTCGCTGAAGAGTGTGGGGATCTCGATCCCAGAAGAAGTTGCGTCGGTTAGTGACCTGACGCCGGCAGTTCTGGTGTCGATCTGCCGGCAATCCCTTCAGCTCCTTGGTCAGGTTGGTGAGTCATCTCCTGCTTCAGTTTCCGATTCCTCCGACTCCATGGCTGAAAAGTTCAAGATCTGTACAGATATGGCGTTGGCTTTCAAGAATCTGGGTTACATAGGGGACCTAAGTTATCACAAGGTGAAACTTTTACCAAAAAGATACGCAATTTAAGTAAAAATTAAAAATTTTATTATTTTTTCATGAATTTGTGTGGTATATTTGTTATTGATTTTGTTGTAACTGAGTATCATTGCTTGAATTGTATAATTTATGTTTGGAAGTCTAAGATTTGCATTGGGATGACAAATTTGGAAATTGGTTGTGAAGGTGACTGCATATTTTAACGTATTTGATGTATAGACCTCTAGTTCTTCACTTGGAATATTAGCTATTTAGGTGATTCCATTAGTTTTCTGCATCTGATGTTCCTTTTTAACTCTTGTATGCAACTTTCATCTGGTTGGTACCATGTATGAGGGTTTAAACCCATAACTTGGAAGTTCCATGAATGTAAGTTTTGAGACGTTCTTATCTTATAATAGGGTAAATATAAGATCATCTAGGCGGAGAGTTTGCTTGTGTATCTCTTTGTGTTGGCCTTAATTTTATTTTATTTCATTTTTAAGTTCTAGCTGTCACTATTCTTATTGTTCTGAAATTATTCTCAGAACAGATTATATGTGTTGCTTACGGCAGTTCCTGTATCCATCCGAAGAGGACTTGTACAAGTTCATAAGATTTCTGGTGGAGAGGCTTTCTGAGTGTTCTGAAGGCTTAAATGTTTCTGGAGGGAAGGCTGCTATCGCTAAGCTGGGAGCTGAAGGGCAAAATTTTGAGAGAATATCTGAAGATGAGCAACAGAAGCTTGACAATGAAGGGGTGGATCTAAATCTTCAAAAGGTTGAAGCAATATTGAAAGATATTAGACTAAATACTGAAATACCTGAGTCATCTATTTTTGAGGCTGAAAGTGCAGTTCTCATTGGATCCCATAAGCTTCTTGATATCCCACAGAATTTGGATGAACTTGCTGCTGATGATACATCGAGCTCAGAAGAAGAAAATTTCTTCAAGAATGATCTCTTTGGTGTTGTACGTAGAAAGGATTCCAGTGCAGATTCTGGGGAATCAGGAACAAATGCTTCCCCAAATGTAGCTGATCAAGAAGATGATAAACATGATTCAGTATTTGGAGAGAAAGCAAATTCTCATCTAAAGCAGTCTTCTGAGGTAATTTTCTATGAGTAATTTAACACTCACATAGGACCAATTCTGTGTTTGAACAAAAAGAAGAATGTTGACAGTTTTGTTATTGGTGTTTATTGTGTCACTAGATACAGAATGAAGCCGGAACATCGGAAGAACAAGAAAAAGTGCTTGAGGGGGAGTTGAATGCAAAGACTTTAGAACTTCAGCTTCTTGAAGAAGAGTTACAGTTGCTGGAGGCAGCAGCAGATATGGCATTCAATCAAAATCATCCAATTGAATCATACCTGGAGCAACTCAATGAGCAAGTGAATGCCAAGAGCCATAATATTGCAAAACTAAAATTGCAGTGGTATGATGTCACAATCTATTATAATCTTTCCACACATTGTAAAATACATGTTACATGGACTCTCTCTTCTAATTATGCTTGGAATTAGACACAAGATGCAGTCACTAGAAATATTCTATTATGTGCTTGAAAAAGCAACATTTTCATACCCTGCAGGCTCCAGTATGATTTTACCTTGGTATTTTTTGTCTTTTCAGGAATGCTTTTAGAAACCCTCTTGAAGAGAAAAAAAGAAGTCTTGAGGATTCTATGTATGCAAGCAACCCGGTGGCTCAACAAAAACTCCAAAAGTTGAGAGAAGTTGAGCTGGAAATTCAATCCATTTTGTCAGAAATTAGGAGAAGGTACATTTTTGAAATCGAAACATAGTACTAGCTGTAAATATTCTTGCTTGCTTGCTGTGTTATGTTACTTCAACATTAACATTATTAGCACCTTTTTTCAAATAAACATGAGTCTTGAAGTTGGAAAGTGCTTTTTAATCTTTCATTTGTAATATCAATACCTACATTCAACAAATTTTATCGATTGCAATAAAGAGTGGACATGGTGCTGGTAAAAATTGGCTAGATATTCCCTGAATATTCGCTCACAGCTATTTAGTTTACAAATTCCATTAATCAGTCTTCCTCATTTCAGTGTATATTTTCCCATTCTACAGGAAGGAGGAACACTCAAAACTTTCTGCGGATCTCAAGAAGCAACCCAAAGTATCAACTAGGAGATCCTATATTGAGCGGATAAAGGAGATCACAAAGAACAGTCGCAAACTTGACACTGACATAGAGCAGATCATAAAAGTGACAAGGGAGCTTCAGCTAGAGAGTAATTCCATACGGGAACGCCTCCATAGGACCTATGCAGTTCTGGATGAAATTGTCTTCAGGTATGAATAGGTCATAATTGCGCAACAAACTCACCAGCACTCCACTGGCATTAGATTGACTGATGAAAATGAAGTAAAGTATATATCTTCTTCTGCTGAAAAGAAGCTTCTTTATGCAGGGAAGCAAAGAAAGACCAGGTGGGGCGACAGGCATACAGGCTTCTCACTAGCATACACGAGAGCTTTGAGCAAATCTCGGAGAAAATTCTTGCCACCGATAGAGTACGAAGAGAGGTTGCTGACCTTGAAAAGAAGCTTTCAGCCATGGCCTGCCAAAGCGTAAATGTGGACAAATTGCAAGCAGATCTTGATGCCATCAGGAAGGAGAATGAATACTTGGGGCAACAATTATCAACATAATTGATCGTAGAATAGAAGCTTCACCCACAGTACAGTTTTAATCATGGTTAAAATTTGAATTTAAAGACGGCCACCATTTGAGTTTGAACACAATACAGTTGTTGCATGTATTGAGTAGAAAACAATCAAAATACAGCAGGATACATTATCATCTCTTTCCTCAAGCTTCAGAGTTGTTTCTAGCTTTTACTCTTTTCTCGAAATCTAATATAACCTGTGAAAGACCTTGGAGATATTCCTGGGATCCCAATTCATCATTATGACTGACATAGACATGCACACCCACATGCTTCCCTATTTTTTTGGTAGAAACCCAGATCAAAAGAGATCATATGCTGCGCACATCTCCCTCTCTCCCTGCATGTTTTCCAAATGTAGGAAAGAGAGAAGGGCAGAAGGCAGGATGGCTTATTTTTGCAGGCTACTTTTAAGGCTTGGTTGTTGAGAAATAATGAAAACTAGTGGGGACAACCCAATCTCTTTGTTAAAAACTTAAAAACTACAATTCTTAATGTATTTTGTTCTGGATTTCTACCCAATTAGCAGACACAATCAAAAAGACCCAACATTTTTTCATGACTAAGCAATCCTTTAACCCTTTGCTCATTAAAGATGTGATTCAATCCCATGTCCTCCACAAAATTACAATCAAAACAAAAACGAGGCGGTTTGTTTAGTAAAATGTAGCATCAAAATCAAGGAGGTCGCTTGCTTATCAAGGACCTTATACCATGGAATCATTAACTTGTTAAGCTCAAAATGAGAGAATGCTTAACGCTCATGCAAACATAAAAGATATTGACTGTTTCTTGATGTACGTAACACAATAACATGATGATTCCTTAACTTCTCCGGAATCCCAAACTACAGAGTAGATAAACTAGAAACTTCATGCCCTCACCCACCGTAACAGCATTGGACAGTAACATGCTGCCATGTGGCAGAGGATTCCAATTTTGTTGGTTAAATTTTTAATAGGCCGTAGATGGCAGATCCCATTCTGTTGATCAAATTTAATAAGATGTGCAGTTAACTAACTTTGGAAGACTGACATTTCACCATGCATCTGAAACAGTTTGTCACTTTGTTGTGTGTTGTTAGTAATATTTCCTTTTCCTCAGTTCATTAAAACAAAAATTCCTCTCTTCAATATAAACTCCTCCTTCCCCTCCTAAAATTCTCTCCCATTTTTTTTTCATTAAAAAAAAATTAATATGTGATCCAACAGATTCAGTTTTCTGGGATGAAAATGGGGTTGATTGATTCTCTGTTGGGAAAAGAAGGCAAAAAGTTCATCAAAAGGAAAGACAGCGATCCAGGAGATGCAGGTTCTAATATGCTTTCATTTAATTTATTTCTCGAATCTTAACTTTCTTGAGTTTGTTTCTTCATTTTGAATCTACACTAGATGATGTCCATTGCTAGAGAAAAACTACTGATTTTTTATTTTATTGAGGTTGATCCTTTCAGCCGGCCTGAGTTGTGGGTATTTTTTTATTGTTAATTATTAAATTGTTTGGCATTCTCTTCTTTGTCCTCTGACAGGTCTTGTGTTGGTTTCAATATATGTTTTTTGAGGTCATTTTCCCTGAAAATGGTTTCTCATTCTTCAATGAATCAGTGTTGAAACATATAACTTTTATAGAATTGTTAGGGAGAATGAATGTCATTCGTTTGCAAAATGTTGTCGGTGGTAACTGAAAATATATGATATAAGTCAATCTTTTCTTTTTCTTCTCAAAATTCTATTGCTCTGAAATTTGGTTTTTTTAGCTCGATCATTTGAAGAACTCAGAAGTTCTCTCTACAATGAGCTCAGAACTTCTGAGGGAGCAAAGCGCCAACAGCAACGCTTCTGTGGCCCTACCGTGGCAATGTCCTTCAATTTCATGGTAGCTGTTGGGATTATTCTCACTAACAAATTAGTCAGTACTGCTCCCTCTACATTTCTCTTTGCATTCTCCTTTTTTCATTATGTTTCATTTTGTAAATTTAAGTGATGATGGTTTGGGGATTTTCAGGTGATGGGGAGAGTTGGATTCAATTTTCCAATCTTCCTCACCTTAATCCATTACTCCATTGCATGGTTTCTACTGGCATTTTTCAAGGCATTGGCATTGCTTCCAATTTCTCCACCTTCCAAGACCACTCCTTTCTCTGCACTTTTCTCCTTGGGAGCTATAATGGCCTTTGCATCTGGCCTTGCCAATACCAGCCTCAATCACAATAGGTCAGGCAGCCTCGACCTGTTTTTTTCACATCTGAACTCTGCCACTTATCCTGTTTGTTTCCTCACTTCTCAGCTCATTTGCAGCGTTGGTTTCTACCAGATGGCTAAAATTGCAGTCACTCCCACCATTGTCCTTGCAGAGTTCATTCTCTTTAGGAAAACCATTTCCTCCAATAAGGTAAAAACAAGTAATTTCTCCATGCCTTTATTTTACAGGTACTTATTTGAAGATTTTATGCTGCGTCGTATAGGTTTTGGCTCTAGCTGTTGTTTCAGCGGGTGTAGCAGTAGCAACGATAACAGATTTAGAGTTCAATTTCTTTGGTGCTTGTATTGCCATTGCTTGGATAATCCCAAGTGCTATAAACAAAATTCTGTGGTCTAATCTTCAACAAGAAGCAAATTGGACTGCTCTTGCGTAACTAAATCCTGATCTTCCTTTTCTTTGTTGTTATTCTTCTTCTTCTGATGCAAAGAAATGAATCCATTAGATCAATTAAGTTCTGTCAATTTTATGTAGGTTGATGTGGAAGACGACCCCCATCACGATCTTCTTCTTGCTAGCCTTGATGCCATGTTTGGATCCCCCAGGACTGCTGTCGTTCAAGTGGGATCTGAATAACTCAACTGCCATTCTCATATCAGCTCTCCTTGGCTTCCTGCTCCAATGGTCTGGTGCTTTGGCACTTGGGTGAGTTTTTCTTTTATTAATTGTTTGCCGCTTTTTTCCTGTTAACTTTGAGTAACAGGTGGAATCATTCGCTTGCTTGATAAACAGGGCAACATCTGCAACCTCACACGTTGTTTTGGGGCAATTTAAGACATGTGTCTTGCTCCTTGGAGGATATCTGATATTCAATTCAGATCCAGGTTTTGTGAGCCTGTGTGGAGCTGTTGCAGCTCTCTGTGGAATGTCAGTTTACACATCACTTAACTTGAAAGGGTCGGGTGAAAGCTCAAGTAAGCAGGTGCTAATACCAAAGCAGAGTATCCCTTTGCAGAGAACCAAAACCAATGAGGAGACGTGTGAAGACACGGACATAACAAGCAATACTACCAACAATGTCTGAAAACAGGGAAAGGAAGTGAAGCTCATAACAGGGGCAGAGGGAGAAAGGAAGTCATCTTGGCAGAGGAAAATGTTGCATGGAGCGAATGATTTGTTTGTATAGAAAGGATACAGTGAAGTAGATTCTGGTTTTCTCAGTGAAAATTGATACTCCTACAATATATTTGGATTTTCAACACGAAAAAGTTTGTTCCCTGTGAACAGTTAGCCATTCGTCATCAAGTTCTCTACTTTTACAAAAGCTTTCCTACAGATAAACTTAGAGGTTCGATTCAACCCCGAGAGAATGGGAAAATACAAGGGATTTCTCATAATTCCAATGGAAGAGCCAAAAGGTGTTTGAGTTGAAATCGACGGTGAATTTAAGTTTGAAGATTGAAGTTTGATTAAGCACAATTTCCTTTCAAATAAAGAATATTTTAAAAAAGAAAAAAAAAAAAAAAAAAAAAGAGCCCGAGGAACCACGATTGCTTGTGCGTTGGTACCCGCATTGACTGCCCGAGTGCCCGTACCACTCTCTTAGCACAAACATTCATCCTTATCATGGTTGATGATTCATGGTGAACCCTTAAATCTTTTTTTTTTTTATTAAAAATATAGTTATTAATAATTGAAACAATTACAATACAAATTATATCTTATCATATAAGTTGAGTAAAAAATATAAATAAACTAAAAAAGACCCATGATACTAACATAAAGAGCTATTGCTCTTTACAAATAAAACAATTAAACATTGAGAGCCTGGAATTTCAATATACATCATAGGAGAGTATCAGTAGAACCATGTAAAGACATAGAAAGATTACTCTAGAACTTTCTCTTTTCTGCTAATAATCACATCTTTTTTTTTTTTTTATCAGCAATAATCACATCTATTTTACCCTTAACTCTCTTTTGAATTACATGATTCCCATAAACGAGAATTTACAAATTAGTGTGGCTAAACTCTATAAAGCACATAATGAAGAATCGACACAAGGTACCATTCAGTTAGTGGTAAAACTAACAAACCACACAGCTTTACAATAACCACTAGATTTTCCAGTAAAAATAAAACCAGAAAAAAATATCAGTCAAGTGCAAAAAAAATGAGTACTTTCCATATACCAATTACAGAGCTATATAATCCCTTGCTATCAAAATGTAATATACAGGTGAGACATTACAAGAGGGAAATCTAACATAAAAATCCCACCTACTCTATTCACCTCTTTAAAATTTCCTATAGTATCTCAATGAAACAAGAACTTGAATAGAAACAGCAAAAAGTTTGTTACCAAGGAACAAGGGGTAAAAGATAACAAGCTCTGCTCCAATCAATGCTTCAATGAATCAAACATGTATCCCAACTGCTGATGTTACACTAAAATTGCAGCATACCTTTACTATTTACACTCAAAAAGCAGGCCAGGTGTTTCATCTCTCCCAATTTTTTCTCATCATTAAGCTCCATTCCATATAATAACAGTTCAGTAATTTGTGTTCCAATTTAACTGCGCAAGTTGAGGCTGTTGATAAGCAGTTATGGGTCCCATGGGTTCAGCTGCTGCAGCTACAGGTTGAGATTGTTGAAGGAGGGGATTAAAATTTGAGGGAGCTGCCATTGTCTGTGGTGTTTGATAAAGTCCTGCAAAGGAACCATGACCAGCCTGTGCATGAGAGAAAGCAACATGTTGTCCATGAAGGGAGAAGTTATACAAAGAACCAAGGGTCAAGTTAGACAAGTCTTGCCCTGGTGTTGGCATCCAGAGAGCTGGACCATCACTCTGTAAAGAAAGCAAGTAATACAAAAGGATGAATATAGATAAAACTTAAAAGCCTATTGATGGAAAATGCTCAGCAAAAGAGTAAAGAAAAAAGGAGCAAAACCAACCGGTGTTCCTGTTGCGTTGACATTATTTTCCTTCAACTGAGAAGCTGCAAGATCCTCCTTACTGGTAGAACCCCCCGAGGTTGCAGTAGGAACAGGATTGAAACCAACAGGTGGAGTGTTATATGAACCATAGCCAGAAGGAATTGTGACATGAGTTACATTTCCAGCATTTGCTCCAGGCTTGAATTGTGGAAGAGGGATTTTGACCCCAGAAGGAGGGGCTCCAGGTGGCAGATAGACATTGCCAGTGGAAGGCTGCTGAGGGAGACCACCACCAGGGCTTAAAAATTGGTGCATTGGTGACATTAAGAAAGGTGAAAGATAGTAAGGGAAGTGAGGGAATGGCTGCCTGAAAAAAGGAACTGCTTGTGGAGGTGCAACAACAGAGCTCGAAACTGGTGGTGTTGAACTACCAGAAGGAGCTGGAGCATTACCATTCTACAAATTTGACAAAACAAGTACTAAAATTTAGAAGCTAGTTAAGGACACCATGTATAAACTTCAACAGCAATATGAACTAATGCACATTCAGAGAATCTTTCCAAATTCATAAGCATGTTATGTTTTACTACCAATCTAACAGTGTCAAGTGAATGTGATCATGCCAGCCTCTACAAGATAGCATAGTGCATACAAAGTGCGGGAATCTACAATAAAATATGAAACCAGAACTGTAGTGTGTTCTCTGGATAAAATAACAAAAATGACAGATAAGAAACAGAAGATGGTTCTTACAACAAAGTGTGAAAAGCGAGAAACACCATGTATCTGAGACTCAGATCCATCACACTGCACAAAATTGCTTGTTGACAAGGGTTGCATGAAGCCTAAATTATAGCTGGGGGCATTTTGGACATTAAGGCCCTGATCATTTTCTACCTGTAACTTTATTTCCTTATTTGACTGAATATTTTTCAAGTCAGCAGTGGATGGAATGCTGCTATCTGATTCTGGCACTTCCTCAAACACAGGAGGTTGAGGTTCTTCAGAAGTATCTCCTTGCAGAGCTGATGATACGCTTTGATTGCTGCATGATTTAAACTCATAAAGTTGTGAGATGGTCTAGAACATTAAAAAGGTGTAAAGAAATAAATCAACTAGTACCAAAGTAGAAACCATAACGTCCACCAACCTGGGAGAAAGTTCTTCAGCAGTCTCATCACTTCCTTGAGAAGATTCAACAGCACATGCTGAATTGGTCTCACTATTGGTGACATTGTTATACATCATTCCCAGTCCGAAACTAGGATCAAAGCTTCCAAAAGTCAAGCCATTTTTTAAGGCCTCAGAGACTTGGAAGTGGGCAGGAAAAATAACATGTTGATCATCAGAAGTAACAGTAGGAGGCAATTTAGAATTGTCTTTAACAGTAACAATTGAAATCTCTGAGGTGATCCCTGTTTCACAAACATCAAAGTAAAAAATCCAAAATAAAGGAAAGCCACAGCAGAAACATTATAGACAAACAAAACCAAAAACCATAAAAGATTCTTAGTTTAAGCAATAGTAACCAAACAGATGGAATATAAGAGAATGATAAAGGGATTTGTCAACAAACACACTCGTACACTTCAAATTAGGGACCAAATCACCAAAAGCTTAAAAAAAGGGAAAAAAATTTAGCAATTTAAAGCACATGCTATGCTTAAAGACCTATAGGCAGCTATTAACTCAAAGAAAATCGAAGGTTGAGCAAGAAAAGTTCAAATAAACGCATCCTCCTGCATTAGCGAAAGATAAAAACTTATGCCAGCCATTACCGCCTGAGATGCCATCCTACCCAGTAACAAAAATAAAGAACTCAAAAATAGAGCAAGTACTTGGAAAGTTGGAAGATAGGATATTAAGCAAAAGGCTATTGCAAAAGAAAACCAAAATCCTGGAAGTCATCTGCTAATCAACTCTAGTGTAATGATAGCCTAAAAGAAAAACACATGAATAAAATTTCCTTTCATAGAAAAACAAACCTTGGGGTGGAGAGTGTTCTAGATGCACAGAAGAGTCAATCTGTTCAGCAGCTTTTGGTTTGCCAGGGTCCTTCCTTGAGTGGTTCAAGTTTTGATCATTAGAGATTGCTATATTTCCTTGAATATGGTTGACTTCAGTAGCTTCCTGTTGCTGCTCTACTTCTTCATATTTAATTGTACCAACTGCACCAGAATGGTGGGGTAAAGATGGTGGAAACGCCAGGTCTGAAGCAGAGAGATTGATGCTAGATACTGTGGCAGAAGTTGAGGTCTGGTTTGAACTTGTTAGGGGCTTCTCTTGATCACCTACCAATGAGGCTAAGGTATGATACGAAACGGAGTTAGAAGATTCCTTGACAGGCAGTACATCTGCTACCACTGCAGCAGTAGCTGATGTTTTCACGTTAATAGGTGCAGCATCCTTGGTCCCTTTACTAACACCGCCAGGAATTAAGCTCCCATCAGATAAATTTGATCTGCCATTGGGGACAGCAGTTGGACTTCTGTAATAGAGTAAAACAAATTCTAGGTCAAAAGCTAACTTATAGCCTTCCTATGGGAGTATATGCAACTAAAATGATGAAGGAAAGAGAGAGAAAAAGAATGTCATTGAGTCTGGAGTTGATATTGTAATGAAAGCTGGTTAAATATTTACTTTTTCATGTAAGAAACAGCATTTCTTTTTCCTCTCTGTGAAACCGGCAAGGGGATAGAACCGCTATCTGTGATGTGATTAGTCCCATTTTCTCTTCGAGCAGATGTATTCCTCCCTGCCCCAAAATCTGAGAAAAAAAAAAAACAGTAGTTAGCCAATAGTATTAATAAATAACTATTCATAACAAACACTATCCTAAGACATTCTAATGGCTGCAAAACTAAGTAAATGAACAAAGAGCACAGGAAGCCAATCTTGATCGAATTAACTTATTGCAATTACAAGAATAAAATGTCAAGAGTATGAGAACTTTTGATTGGATGACAAACAAAGTATACCAGACAAGGTATTGTTAGAGTGGTTCCCTCGGGCACCCCTTGTCCCTCGTCCCTGCATGCCAGCTGTCTGTGAAATGGAAACGCTGAGTTAGACAATTTGCTAAACTAATTGGGATACAAATGCACTACTTAAGAGAGCATGAGAAAGTATAATAACAGAGACCCTCAATGATCCAATGTAATTGTAGGTGAGAAACATCCCTACAGATTTGTAAAAAAAATATATAAGCTGAAAATGTGGATGCACTCATAAATTATTTAAAAAGAAAAAGAAACAATTCTTCCACCCATTGGAAAGAAATTTGTCATACCTCCTTTCTGCAATCACGTTTCTTGCTTTTCACCTCATGGAATGTATCTGCCAACCAAAAAATATAATGGTCACACTTTGAGAATAAAAATTGCAAGACTCCAGCTCAAACAAACCAAGCTCAGCTAAAATCAAAAACAGGAAAGGCTAGTGAGTCTTGCCTTGCACCAAAATAAAGCAAACACATTATCAAAAATCCTGAATTACCTTCATCTAGCTGACTTAATATAAGCAGTACAATGAGGGGTGTGTCTATTTTTTTTTTATTGTCTCACAAATAAAACAAAAACAATGAACTAACTAGTACACAATTGGCTTTCCATTACACACAGAACATAAATAGCACATATCTACCTCTAAAAATCTCACCTTTGATCTATCTTTCAACATAAGAGACAAAACCCACAAACAAGAAGCAGATCAAAAATCCACAAAGCCTCAAGAGAACACAAAACCCTCACGCAATCCTAAATAACAAAAACCCTAAATACCCAGATGAGAAACAAGAACACAAACAGGTATGAAGAAGCATAAATGTAAATATACCCAAATAAAAGAGCTTCTGGGCGGTGTCATTAGGATCCATGTCGCACTCTTTGAGCACCGCATAGATTTCTTCATCGCTGTGCTTCTTACCCGTGATCTCTCTAATGTTTTGGATTGTTTTCTTTGCATTCTCCGGGATCAAAACCCTAAAGGCTTCACCACCACGGCCGCTGCTACTCATGGTGAAGAGACCCAGGAAGAAATAGAAGAAAGGGAGAGAGAAATGAATGTGTATTGGGCCAAGGTAATCCAATAAATTAGGGCATAATACGATGAAAAAAGTACTAATGTATGCCTTTTTATAGTGATTGTCTTGATAAAGTAGGGTTCTTTACTTCTTTATACCTACATTAACAATTTTTATATATACAGGGGAAGAGAGATGATATGATATGTACCGGTTTGGAAGATGACTTTGAATTTATTTTTTCCTCTTTTTTTTTGTGTTTATTTTCTATGTGTTTTTAATTTTTATTTTTTGGCCGTGTTTTGCAAGGGATTTGCAATGCAGGTCGAATACATTATTTTTAATGAATTTATTTATATATAATAAGATATACCTTGCTACTCCCTCTGTTCCAGGAAATAATAAATTACTTTAATATTAGAAATAAACATATTTGAAGGGCAATTTTATTCTTCTGAAAATTTTTACTCACTTTTAAAATTTCTATATTTTTACCGAAAATTTATTCGTCTGAATGAGAGGAATTCATTCTCTTTTTATGAAATCCAATTTAGTTCATATTCAAATTTTTGAATATTAAGAGTTAGTACTACAAAAATATTTTTATATTATTTGATTGGATTTAATTGGTTTATTTTATTTAGTTATGATTATTGAGAAATTTATTTATTATAATTATTATTTTTACTATAACATTTAATGTATTATTAAAATAAAAAATAATATAACTAAATCACATTACCTTTGTCTTTATTTAGAAAATAAAACAATTGAATCCAATTAAAATGGGTGTTTATTATGGGTGAAAGGAGAGGAAAAAATTGAAAATGATAGAACTAATGAATGATTGGTTTCCTAAAATATCAATTATTTTGAAACAAAAATTTTCTTCAACTACCCCTAATGAAAAAGAGGGAGTAGGTTGTGCTCATTTACAAACTAATCAATAATTAGAAACTACTCTTGCTTAAGTAGTAATTTTAAGAGGGCATTTTCATATTGAGTTGATGCATTTAAGTTGTTAAACTTAAAATTTGTTAGTTGGTTACTTTTATAAAATTTACTCCTTTTATAAGTACTTTAGAAAGTTAATTGTATGTTATAGTAAAGATTTAAACTTGATTTTGATTTTAAATTAAAAATTTTAAGTTAATATATAATAATTTGGTGAAATTTTTAATAATTTTCAATTTTGTAAAACTTATTTATAAATATATATTTTTAAAAGTTTTTAA